TTATCGTAATGAGAGTTTATGGCTTCATATCTGATACGTAGACTACGCCCCCACATGCAGCGTAGATTTAAACAGTCATCTTGTGTTGAAAACAAACACTTTTTTTCCGACCTCTGCTGCATAGCGGATTGCCGTGGTGTGTTCAAGAATCCACAGTTCAGCCCGTACTTACTGCAAATTTTCCCACAGTCAGAGATTACAGTCAGACGTTCCTAATTGTACGTTTCAACCTTCACTACCTAATTAGGTGAGTGTCATACATCCATCGAAATTAAGGCCTTCTTTTTCTCCGCAGGCATCAAAACGAATATCTGAAAATTACTGAAAACATCTGTATACTATTCGTGTTGGGATTTCAGGTTGCTTTAAGAACCCTATTTTTGGCTCATGTTGTTCAGAACTGCAAACATTAATCCATGCCTTGAGACAATATGTGAATTTACAGCCGCCAGTGAGATTCCTCGAATCTGGTTAACCTATATTTTCCACTAAATAAATGATAAGTGTGTGAGCCATTAAGATTTTTTTGGAAACTTTGGGCTTTAGTAAGACAACACGAATATTTGTCATTTAACTTCGAAGAGATTGTATTTTATAGGAAAAGTTTTTAGTGACTCGACAAGCAAATTAGTGGTTATTTAGACAATTTTCATTGTCAACTCCACTAAAAGAGTTAGATAGCATAATTGCACGTCTAAACACTTGACTGTGTAAAGTAAGCCCCAAACTGTTTGCTGATTAAGAAATTAACATATTGCTATGCGATTTCTGAAAGTTATTTGGTTATTTTTCCTGTGATAAATTTACTGGACAATGTCTAATTATTACGAATAGAAGTGAGTACGCACTAGCCATCACTTGGTTTTGGAAGTGAAGCAGTAGTCATGTGCTTTTTTCCGACTCTGTAAGTTAAAAAAGCCTTCTGCGCATTTCTGATAACACACCTAGCTACCAAATTGTGCAACTTCATTTCCTCAGTTTTTAATTTCGTTGACAATCTGCGCAGTTAAATGGATTTAAATGTTTGTTTAGGCATTCATGCGCATAAAGAGGGTTTTCATGAACGTCGGAAGAGATTTTTCAATTCGAATATATTAGCTTGGGCAATATTGCTCGAAATTTTGACTCATATACCTCATGCAACTATACATTCAAGAGATTATAGCTGACTCTCAAAATATCGATGCACACCTACGCCCTGATTTGTGAAGATATTTGCTTATATTGCGTGTAGATTATTTATTTACAAGCCCTTATAATATACGTCTATTTCAGGTTTACGTATCATACACACAGAGCATGACATAACTAGTGTAAAGTCTTGCTCAACATACGAGTAAGTAGTTAAGCGTGATTTTTTATTGTTTGACTGATCAGGAAACTCTTAAAACCTTAACGCATTAAAAACATATGTATAATCTCGCATATTACGGGGCAAACAGGCAGGCAATAAGCGATATCGGAGGAGGTTGGATGTCCAAGAAATTCCCAATGTCATTGAATAAGACAGTTTAGAGTATCTTTCTTTTGTATTTTTTCTATTAAAGATCATTAATGTAAGCACGAACAAGATTCATATAAATCGTATTGGAAAGTCCAACCTTATATCACGGAAAATCCGATAAGGGCATGTATGATGAATCGTACGCGGGCAGCAACCACCGCTTCTTTATCGGCAGCGGTTTTCGGAAAATTGCCCTACAAATGAACTGGAAACTAGTTTTAGTATAGGCTGAGTGCAAACTTAGGATAAAATTCGCTTTTAAAATACGTTTTCCCGCAAATAAACGTATTCTGCCGCTGCATACTTAGTGAAGTTGTTTCATCATCTTCAGTGGAGAGTCTTATAGTTTCCGAATGATCAAATCAGAATTAAAGTTCGTTTTAGAATCTGATAACCAGATAAGCCCCGTAATTTTCACGAAACAGGCTGAACATACTTCTCCTGTTCAAAAAATAGCTTTGAGCTGATGTATCTCAAAAGCAGATTGACTAATCCTCCCTTTCCGAGGCCCGGAGACCAAAAAATCAAGTAATAACGAACAAATCAACACACTGAAGTCCTTTCGGCACACCACTGTATGTTCGATATCTTTTGAACTGTCAATCAAACTTCGATTAGTTTTTTTCAAAGAATTACTGTAGTAGGATTTTTAAATTACTTGCATTGCAGACAATCACAAGATATTTTTTGTCACGCCGGAATGCCGGCTTTCTAAGGAGATTCCCGCTGGTCACCTGCAAAAATCACATGCTATGAGAAACTGCTTCTTATTTAGCTTTCCTAATTTATTCTTGGAAAACCTTTAAACTTAAATATGCGTTAGAGACAAAATTCACAAAAGTATTCTTTCTTGTTCTTAGCTAGTTAACGGTAAGGCCTTCTGTAAATGCTATATTCAGCTATCACCGCACTAATTGAGACCTCAAGCGGTGGCTAAAGGAACTGACAATTATAGTACGCATGCGGGTG